CAGTGGCACTGGTTATAGTTCCAAGGCACAGAGGACATTAGCACTTAGGGCTCTAGGAGAGCAGAGGACATGGTCACATGTGGTTCCAGGGCCAAGATGAGCACTAGCACTTGTGGCTACAGAGGAGCAGGAGCCATTCCTCAGTAAAGATCAGAGAATAGACCAGGAAAGCAGTGATCACACTTCTCCCCAGATCACACCACGTTGGCAGTACCAAAAACCTACAGACACTTCCCTCCTCCAAACTAGCTCTGAAAACAACAGCATGGAAAAGACTGAAACTTGGGACAGTGCTTTCCCATTGCAAGCTGAACAGAGCTCAAATTGAATATAAAGTTCACAATCAAGAAATAGGCTCGGAAAATGAGCAAACAACAACAAAAAAGAACTTGACCGTGAAAAGCTACTATGGTGGCACGGAAGATCAAGACACACACTCAGAAGAAGAAAATGAAATGATAATTGGACCCAATCCCAAGAAGAATTTCTGGAAGAGTTAAAGAAAGAGATAAGAGTCACAGAGGAAAAATTGGGAAAAGAAATGAGAATGATGAAAGAAAATTATGAAAAGAGAATTAACAGTTTCATAAAAAAAAGGGCATGAAAAGTACTAAAGAAAATAACACTGTTTAAGTTTAACAGAGTTGACCTAATGGTAAAGGGAAAAGTTCCTTGAAAAGCAGAATGGGCCAAATGGAAAAAGAGGCACAAAAACTCACTAAAGAAAAGAACTTCTTAAAAAAAACAGAATTGGCTAAATGGAAAAAGAGGTACAAAAACTCCCTGAAGAAAATGATTCCTTAAAAATTAGAATTGGGCAAATGGAAGCTAATGATTCCATGAGATGTCAAAAAACAATAAAACAAAGTCAAAAGGATGAAAAAGAATATAAAAGAAAATGTGAAATATCTCATTGAAACAAGTAACTGACCTGGAAAATTGATCCAGGAGAGAGAATTTTAGAGTTAGTGGACTGTGAAAGCCATGATCAGAAAAAAGAGCCTAGAAATCATATTTCAAGAAATTATCAAGGAAAACTGCCTTGATATCCTAGAACTAGAGGTAAAGTAGAAATTTAAAGAATCCACTGATCACCTTCAGAATGCAATCCCAAAATGAAAACTCCCAAGAATATTATGACTAAATTCCAGAGCTCCCAGGACAAGGAGAAAATATTGCAAACTTCTATAAAGAAACAATTCAAATATTGTGGAGCCACAGTCATAGCAGCTTCTATATTAAGGGACTGGAGGACTTGGAATATGATATTCTGCAAGGCGAAAGAGTTAGGATTACAGCCAAGAATTACCTACCCAGCAAAACTGAGTAAATCCTTCGAGGGGAAAATGGATATTTAATGAAATAGAGGACTTTCAAGCATTCCTGATGAAATGATCAGAGCTGAATAGAAATTTTGACATTCAAACACAAGACTCAAGAGAAGCATAAAAACGTAAACATGAAAGAGAAATAAGAGACTCAGTAGAGTTAAATTGTATACATTCCTATATGGGAAGACAGTACATGTAATTTTTTTTAATCTGGTCCAGAAGGATTAAAAATTTTTTTAATATTCATTTTTTAAAATAAAATTTTCAGTTCCAAATTTCCTCCCTAAGATAGTAAGCAATTTGATATAGTTTATATATGTGTGATCAAATACATGTAATTCTAAGGACTTTATCATTATTAGGGCAGTTAGAAGCAATCTACATAGATAGAGGCTATGGGTGTGAGTCAATTATGTTGGAATGATCTCCAGAAATAATGAAGGGGTGAGAAAAGAGGATGCACTAAGTGGAGGAGGAAGGAGGGGTTAGAATGGGGGAAATTCTCTCACATGAAAAAGCACTTAGAGAGGAGCTTTTACAGTGGAGGGGAAAATGGGAGGGTGGCAGGCAGTGTATAAACCTCACTCTCATCAGACTTGGTTCCAAAAGGGAATACTACATTAAGTGGAGTAGAGAAATCTATCTTACTTAACAGGGAAATAGGAAGGGAAGGAGATAAGAGAAAGGTGTAGGGGGATGGTGATAAAAAAAAGAGGCTGAATTAAAAGAGCCAGTGGTCAGATGCAAAACAGACATTTGAGGAGGGGTAGGATAAAAAGAGAAAGGGGGAGAGAAGAAAAATAGGATGGGGGAAATAGCAATAATAACTGAATATGAATGGGATGAGCTCACACATAAAATGAAGGTGGATAGCATAATGGATTAGAAACCAAAATCCAACATTGTTTATAAGAGACCCACTTGATACAGAAAGACACAGAGTTAAAATAATGAGATGGAACAGAATTTATTATGTTTCAGCTGAAGTAAAAAAAGACAGGGTAGCAGTCATGATCTTAGACAAAGCAAAAGCAGAAATAGATCTAATTAAAAGAAATAGGCAGGGAGACTACATTTTGCTAAAAGGTATCATAAACAATGAAGTAATATAAAAAAATTTTACAGTAAGTTTCTCTGATAAAGGCCTCTTTTCTCAAATATAGAGAACTTAATTTATAAAACTAAGAGCCATTCCCCAATTGATAAATGGTTAAAGGATATGAACAGGTAGTTTTCAGAAGAAGAAAAGAAAGCTTTCTGTAGTCATATGAAAAAATGCTCTAAATCATTATTGATTAGAGAAATGCAAATGAAAACAACTCTGAAGTACCACCTCATGCCTATCAGAAATTACAAATGCTGGAAGGGATGTGGGAAAATAGGTATGCTAGTGAATTGTTGGAATTGTGAACCAATCCAACCATTCTAGAGGGCAATTTGGAACTATGCCCAAAGGGCTATAAAACTGTGCATACACCCAACAATACCACTATTAAGTCTGTACCTCAAAGAGATAAAAGGAAAAAGAAAACGACCTACATGTACAAAAATTTTATAGCAACTCTTTTTTATCATGTGGTGGTAAAGAATTGGAAATTGAGGGGATGCACAGGGAATGGCTGAACACATTGTGACATATGATTGTGATGGAGTGGTATTGTACTATAAGAAATGATGAGTGGGATGGGAAGAGCTATATGAACTGATAGAGAGTGAAGTGAGCAGAACTAGGACATCATTATACATAATAACAGAAATATTGTAATGATGATCAGCTAAAAATTTAGCAACTCTGATCAATATAATGATCTAAGACAGTTCTAAAGGACTCATATTAACCACTTTCCAAGAGAGAACCAATGAGCTGAGTCCAAATTAAATTATAATTTTCTCACTTTATTTTTCTTGCTTTTTTGTGATTTAGATAATATGGAAATATGTTTTGCCTGATTTCATATGTGTAATTGATATCATATTGCTTGCCTTCTCAGTGGTTGGGAGAGGGCTGGGAGGGAGGGAGAGAATTTAGGGCTCAGAATTTTTTTAAAAATGAAATGGGAATACTGATGAAAAAATACATTGGAAATGGGGAAGAGGTAACGGGGAGAAAAAATAAGTGTTGTTAATTTAAAAAATGAACATCAAAAAAGAACACACACACACAAGAATTTGCTAGGCTGCTTTTTGGATTACCAGATCCATATTGAAGACCATTCTTGCTTGGTAAAATAGTAAGACTTGCCTTGCCTAATATAGCTATCGAGGACCCAAGCTTACTTATGTGCCACCAAAGCTTTTAGGAATTTAGTGAAGGATTTTTTTCTAAGGATGGAGGAAGGGTTTGGATTTCTTTCACCAGATAGGCAACTCTATATGTGAAAATTTTCTCCACTAATGTAGATCAGCAACCCATCCATTTACAGTTTTAGAAATGAGTCTGGGCTTCTGTGAGGTTCAGTGACTTGCTTGTGTTCACACCTGTGTGTGTCAGAGGTAGGACTTGAAACCAAGGCTTTCTGGAAGACACCAGGATGACATTGTCCACTATACCATGCTACTTTTCTTAGGGGAGGATAGCATATTGAAGTGTTTTTACTTTAGTTTTTCTCAGAAACAAACAAACAAAAAAAGACTCTGGCAGTGTTTATGGGGAAAAGCCCTATCACTTCAAGTTAAACATCAAGAATATAGAATTTTGAAGTCATGTAGTATAATCTAAAACAATCATGATGATAATTTTTGAAATTCTTTGGAAGCATTAACAAATATTTTCTTTCTAATATTGTAGGCTTTTATTTTTGGAATTATGTCAGAGTTTTTGGAAAATTAGTAGGAGAGTAAATAGTAAATTATATTGCTCCCAGAGGTTTGGTGGGATCTTAAATTACCAGTAGTTCAACTACTATAGAATAAAATTTGTATCCTTTGCATTTGATTAACTATATAATTTTTAGGTAGGTTATTTTCATCTTTCTTTTTATTTGTAAAATAAGTAGGTTATACCACATGATTTCTAACATTTGTTTCAGCTCTATATTTTATGAGTATTTTGCACAATCTTGTTTCACATACAGCATGCTTCTGCAGCATGCAGGTAGGGCAGCTGTTTATGTATTTAGCTTTAAAAAATCTTCAGGTTAATTTGACTAAAAATTGGTTACTTATACCCATGATGAAAAAGAACCTGGTGCATTCTTACTTTGATGGATCTGTGATCTCATCCATTTTTGCACTCCCTCAAATTGTGCAGGTAGCCATCATAATGTCTTGAACATATCCAGTCTCATATTATTTATTTAAAATCTAGTTGCCAAGGAAGTATCTTTAGTTATTATTGTTCAATTTGAAAGTGAATTTGCCATCTTTTCTTCTTTTACTTTATCTTTGTCTTTTTCCATCTTGTTTCCTACTTACCCTTTCTGATATGAATCTAAACTTTTGTTTAGTCTGCATGATAACAGTTTTTTTAACTTGCTTTGTTTTGAATTATTTTTATTGGAATGGTTATCATTGTCATATTAACAATTCTGACCAACTAAAATGATGCTAATGAGCGTAATTGAAAACCTTTCAGAGTTTTATTCCCCGCTCTGACATTTTGTGCTTTATCAAGCATCCTTATCCCATCCTTATCCACGTATATAATTTTTTTCTGTTCCTGTTTTGTAGAAGTGGTACACCATCACCTAAACGGACTTCAGTGGGCTCCAGACCATCATCTATGAGAGGCAGCAGAGATCGTTTTACTGGTGAATCATACACAGTATTGGGTAGGGTAAAACTTCAGATTTTATCATGTTTTAGATAGGTTGGAAGCAGTATAAACAAACTTATGGTCTTTCTACCCAGGTGAAATTGGACCTAGACACTTGCATGTCAAATGTATAGCTTTATAGAAACGTCCCATTACAAATCCTCAGATTTTGTCATTTATTCCCTCAAATTGACTTACTGTCTGTTCTTTAGAAAATTACTTCTGGAAATTATACAATGTTGCACATGTTTCCAAAATAATGTTCAGGAGGTGCTTATTGAGCATGGTCTTACATTTGTTAATAATGGAAGAGTTCTGTTGCAGTTATTTGTAGGAAAACTATAGTAACAAAAGTCAGGTGGTTGTTTGGAATTGTATCGAGGGTGTTCTTTGTTAGATATATTTAGTATATATGCATTGCCATGGTTATTGCCCTATAATCAAGATTATGCAACTTGAATGTTTAAGTATTTTTTAAGGGATACAAGTCCTATAAAAGAGTCTTTTTCTGGAAGATTTTTTACTATAAATTCACCTTCCTAATCTTTTGCAGGAGACACTGCCATTGAAAGTGGACAGCACTATTGGGAAGTCAGAGCCCAGAAAGACTGTAAATCCTACAGCGTGGGACTAGCGTATAAGACCCTGGGGAAGTTTGACCAGTTGGGAAAGACAAACACTAGTTGGTGTATCCATGTCAACAACTGGCTACAAAGCACCTTTGCAGCAAAGCATAACAATAAAGCCAAAGCTTTAGATGTGGTTGTTCCTGAAAGGATAGGAGTGTTTTGTGATTTTGATGGAGGTAATTTTACAACTTCATAGTCACTTTTTTCAGAGAAATCTTTAATAGTGCCTCTTAAATTGACTGTAGCTATATTTATATTGCTACTGTGATACTCTGTGATACTTATGAAAAAGTCACAACCTCCATAGGGATATATTGGAAGACTTACTTCTGGAGAAGGCAGGAAAAGTGGTGGATCTCCCAGAGCTTGATGAAAGTGCAGTGTTTTACATTTATTCAAAGGATGTCTGACCAAACATGTCTCTTTAATTCAGAGATGCAGCATGGCATAGGCGAAAAAAAATTGATCCTGAAACCAAAAAGGATCTGAGTTTGAATTTGTGTTAACATTTATTAACTGTGTGACTCTTAGCATGTCACTTAACTTTTCTGGGCCTTGGTTTCTTCAGCCACAAAATGGAAATAACACCATTCCTCCCTTATGAAAGTCTTTTACATAAAGTGTTTTGTAAAGCATAAAATATACTAAAATGCAAGCTGTAAAACTCATAGAGTTAAAAGAATTCATCTAGTCTAGTTCATTCATCCTATGGAAGCATTAGTTCTGTAGTCTCTCTGACAGACAGTACTTTTTCTAAACCTGCACTGATGAAATGCTTTCTGCTATATAAAGCAGAGAAGATATAGTGAGGACTTAGAACCATGACTATACGGATCAAAAGAGCCAGAAATGTTTAGACTGATAATTAATTATTTTTCTACCTGCTTTACTGAATATTTTTGGTCTGAATGCTTAGAATTGTTCTGTTAATAATTCAGGTCAACTATAATGGTGCTTATGCTTCAATGTATTTTAAAGTATTACATGTGTAGAAATTTTTTTTCATGCTTTAGTATTTATCAGTTTACCAAGTATCATTGAGTAGGACGAGGGATTAGGTCTTTCATATACCACACATTGCCTGTATCTCATCTACTATGTTCATTTCTTGCCTACTCCCATTCAACATCCACTGGAAAGGGCTTAACTTGAGTTCAGAGTCACCTCAACTCCTGAACTTCTCTCATTTCACCCCTTCTCAAAAGTATCCTTGCATGCACACGCGTGTGCTCACGCGCACACATACACACACACACACACAATAAAGGAAGTTGTCAAGCAGGTTTTATAACTTAAGTATAAGAATTGGCTCTAAGGTATGGTATAGAACTAGGCACAATCTTAGCTGGATGTACCCTCCTTTCCCTTTTGGGAGTGGGCAACAGGATCTTTGGGGGAATGCAGTACCACTACTAGTGGCTACAATAATTTACATTACTTTGTGGGTGATTTACGAAATTTGAGAGATGGTAAATATGTATGCAATTTTCATCTTATGTGTTGATTTTAGGACCTAACCGCTGTGTGTAAAATGTGCTTCATTACATATGGGAAATAAATACAAAGTTATTTGGGGAGGGGGAGTACTAACACTTGAGGGGGAGTCCAAAAATGGTCTCTTTAAGTAGGTGGCACTTGAGCTGAACCTTAAGGAACCTTCATCTAAGAGTCAGAGATGAGAGATGGGGAGAGCATTTCTGGCAAGGGAGTCATTGTGGAGATAGGTGATGGAATGCCATGTACAAAGACCAGTAGATAGACCAGGTTGACTAGAATATATAAGAAGAGATACTATATACTCAGTTTGGAAAAATAGGTTGAAACCAGATAATGAAAGACTTTAAATGCCAATGAGAGGAGTTTTATGTTTATTCTAGAGGCAGTAAGGGAGCCGCTGAAGCTTCTTGAGCAGAGGAATGATAGAATCAGACTTTGCTCTAAGAATATCAATTTAACAACTATGTAGCAGATGGATTAGAGAGAAGAAAAGATGTATGTAGAGAGACGGTTAAGAGATTGTTGCAGAAGCTCAGTCTGGAGGTAACGTGAGCCTTAACTAGGAGGGATGTGAATAAGGAGAAGGAAATGGATTCATGGGAAGTTGAAAATGTAGAATTGACAAGACTTGGCAATTGATGTGGATTAGGAGAGTATGGTGAGTGATATTGAAGAATTGCAAGTTCTCTTTGGATGAATGATGGTGCCATGCACAAAATTTGATAAGTTAGTAAAGAAGAATGAGTTTAGGAATCAATGGGAAACGATTAGTCATCAGGATAAGTTTTGGACATTTTGAGTGTGAGGTAGCTATGGGATTTACAGACAGAGATATACAGCAGTCATTTAGGCAAACCCTCTCCCCCTTGAACTTCCGTCCCACATCACCAATTACCTGTCGGATAGTCTATGTAGATATCCCAGAGAAATTTCAGAATCAACATATCCAAAACAACTCATTATCTTTCCCTCTTTTCCCCCTTTAAAACTTCCCTATTTCTGTTCTTCCTTACCCACATATACATGTCTTCTGATTTTTGTAGCATAGCATTTCGTCTGCTATGGTTTAACATGTTATTTTTGAGGTGACAAAGATACCTTTTAGGAATGAATGAAAAAAGCACTTACTAAACACTTACTGTGTGCAAAGCTCTGTGCTAAATGCTGGAAATACAACTAAACAGAAAGTCCTGTTCTCAGGACTTTCCCCTCACAGTCTGTAAGGGGAGACAACAAATACAGAAGGCTTCAGCTACAAGTCATATGGAAAAATTCCATGTTTCTTTGGGTGCAATGGCAAAGCAGATGATAATGCCTCTTCTTTTATGTCATTTCACTGATAAAATCATATCCGATTTTGATATTGAATCGTTTGACATTGTCAGGGACTTTAGTGGAAAGAACTTTCTTTTCTGGGTCTTTAGTAGCTGTGGCATTTGTCGGAGCAGCTGCCATCCTATATCTCTATAGTAGTTGCTTCCTGGAAGATGGCTGTGGGCACTGTACTGGAAACATTGATCTTCTGAAGGCTCTTAGATTTAGGGTTTTTTATTTGCCTGGCATATGCTGCCTCCTATCTTTGCCTCAGGATGTCTTGTAGCTTCAGCTAGGCTGGCAAACCTATTTTTCAGATAGTCAGAAATATGGTACTTAGGTGAGAAATTGAGATTCAGGATGTATGAATTTGTTAATTTGTTAATTTGAAGCCATGAGATCGATGAGGTCATTCTGATAGAGTAAATGTAGGGAGATGAGAAAGTAGAGGACCAAGCTTTGGGGGGCCAGGTACTCTCAGGGGCTGAGAGAAGCAATAAGAAAAGCAAAGGGAATAGAAGCAGTTGCTTTCTAAATAGGAGAAATGGGAAAGTGTAGTGTCATGAAGCCAAGGAAAGGAAAATTTCAAAGAGGAGGGAGTGGCAGTTAGTATCATATGCTCTAGAGGGGTTGAGTGTAATTGCTTGCCAGCTAGAATAATAATAAATAAAAAGGCTTTTCATCTTGTCTCCTTCCAAATGAGACAGAAGAAACTTTTTGGAATACCTATTCCTGTGTCCATTACTGTACAAAGTGCTGTGGGAGATATGATAATTGATAACAAAAATAGAAGGCTTCTTTCAAGGAACCTATTGTAAGGGGAAAAAATATTAAAATAAGTAGAGTAATTTTATACAGTATATGAAGACATTTGTAAGGCCACGTAAAGCAATGGAAAAAGCATTGAATTCAGAGCAGTAGACCTGGGTATTAGTCCCAGTTCTGCCACTTATTGGCTATGTGACTCAGTTTCTTCATTTGAAGAAATGAAGCATTGGATTGGATGATCTTGTCAAATTCCTTTCAGCTCTTTCTGTGAATACTTTTTTGTTGCTGTTGAGTCATTTCAGTCATGTCTGACTTTCTGTGATCCCATTTTGGTTTTTTTTTTTGGCAAAGATACTGGAGTAGTTTGCCATTTCCTTCTCCAGCTCATTTTACAGATGAGGAAACTGAGGCAAACAGGGTTAAGTGACTTGCCCAGAGTCATACAGCTAGTAAGTGTCTAAGGCCAGATTTGAACTTAGGAAGATGAGTCTTCCTGATTCCAAACCCAATGCTCTGTCCACTGCACCACCTAGCTGCCCCATGAATCTTTATAGTCACTGTCCTATTTAAGAAATGAGCATTGCAATCTAAGGATAATGAAAGAGAAAGTTTCATTGAAGAGGTGTTTTGGGTTTTGTTTGGTTTTTAAGCTAAGATTTTAAAGACAAGATTTGGATTGGTTGAGAATAAGAGGAAGATGATGTCAGTTGAAAATAAGATTAAAAGAAGTGTGTTGGAAATAAGAGGGGAGCGAGGTGAATCTGGGTTATATAGATTATAAGGATTGGGTGTGAGTAGATGGTATCAATCAGTAAAGAAAGTGATGGTTAAGTAAATTAAGCCAGGAGACAATAATAGAGGACTCTTGAGCTAGGCTGAGAAGTATCCACTTAAATATCAGAGAAACTAAACAAGTTATGTCATTTTTTCACATTCCCTTGCTTTCTTAATGTTTCTTCTTGTCTTGTTTATAAACACTTGGACTTGAAAGTGAGCTTAGAGTACAAGTGTTCAAGTAGTGAGTTCTAATGGTCAAATCATATCAGATTCTTAGAGACTTCAGATGTAAACATTTACTCAGATATTTTGTTATTGATATTTGTAACACAAGAGCTGTCATTAATATTCAGAATCCAGTCCATTACAATTTTTAGAGAAACAATTATATTGTTAATAAGTATTTAATTTCCAGTGTTAGACCACTATATTTTGAGATTATTTTCCCCCTGGTTGTTTTGGGATTGGGGTTGGTTTTCTTTTCTGTAACTGAGCTTTTAAAATTTTTTTTGTTTCAGGTCAACTGTCCTTCTACAATGCAGCCTCAAAGCAATTATTGTATTCTTTTAAAACAAAATTTACACAACCAGTGCTCCCTGGTTTCATGGTCAGTATTTATATTTTCATTTGGCAACTTTAAGAAAAATAACTTGTGTTTCATTATTCAGTGGAGTAGATCCACTTTCTCTGTGATACATGATTGTGTCTATGCTGAGAGCACCAGTTTTTAATATTCAGCTAAGAATGTGTCCCATAAGTGACATTTATGTGTTTCTTTATCAGATCGTAGTGATTTCAGCTTCCAGTTTTGGAGTGCTTCTGAACATTCCTGAAAATCTTGTTACTATTAAACTGCCTACCTGTCGCCATTTTCCTGCCTTCTCATTTTCTTCCCCCTTTAGGCCCTGTAATTTTAAAATGTTGGGTTCATCATGGGCCAAGAATCCACCACAGTAGCTCCAGTTGTGTCAAAAACTGCTCTCATAGGAATAACTCATAATCTGCTTCTTAACTTTGCTCTTAGGGAACTATTCTGTAGAACTCTTCACCTGTGTAAACATAGCTAGTCCTAGCTCTCAAGGCACTAACCTTCTGATTGCCATTTCTCACAGTGTAGTTTAAAAAAAAGTGTTACTATGTTCTTTAAAAAAGAACTTAATTGATATCTTTGGTTTTTACATAACTTTTATTTCTGAATATATCTTCTTCCTCTCCTCTGTTCATTGAACCATCCCTTGTAACAAAAAAAGAAAAAGAAAAGAAAGCAGCTCAGCAAAAATTTGACACACACACACTCCCTCCCCTGATTAAGTGAGTCTGACAGTATCTGTAAAGAAGGGAAATTGGTATGTTAGGGACAGTTTTGGTCATTATAATTACATAATATTTCATTTTACAAATTTCTTCCATTTATGTTGGTGATTGTGTTTATTATTTTTCTGGTTCTGCTAACTTCATTCCACATGAGCTCCCATAAGACTTCCCATGCTTCTCTAAATTCTTCATATTCATTGTTTCTTATAGCACAATAATATTCCATCACACTTCGGTACCAGAATTTATTTAGCTATTCTTGACACTATGAATGTTTACTTTATTTTTCTTTGCTACCACAAGAAGCCTGCTATGAATATTTTGGTGTATATGAAACTTCTTTGGAGCATATATCTAGTAGTGTAATCTATGTTCTAGTTACGTTTAGAGGCTATCAGAGAACCTATGAAAAAACTACACCTCTGTTTCCTAGAAGCAAACCCCAGAACAGTAATCCAGTGTTCAAGCTGTTCTTAATGGTGACAGCTAAGTGGAATGTCTAGGCCATTGTGACACAGATGGAGCCAAAAGTTCTTGTATAGTAAAGGTTGTTGTTGTTTTTAAACTGGACTGTGTCATGTATTGTTATAGTGCCATCAGTTTTTTTCAGTGTCTTCTACCTCTAAATATGTTATAGCCTAATGTCCCATAAAATTCCAAATGATGATATTCAAGCAAGGCAGTACATCATATTAATAAAGGCTGTTTTAATAGGAGGAATAGGGAAAAGAGTTTTGATGCATAAGATTCTTTTACATGTTAACATCCTCATCTTGACCTTCCTTATATCATAATCATTAAGATTAGAATCTTCTAAACTTTTCTAAAAATTTAGTTAACTTTTTAATTCTTACTCTGTCATCTAACATTAGCTATATATTGTATAATTTGCAGATATAATCAGATCGTAGTTTGTAATTTCATCTGTGTCATTCATTAAAAATGTTGATTAACACAGAGCCAGTATCATATGCCTGGAGCATTACACCAGAGATATCCCTTCAGATTGATGTATCAGTCCTTTACTAACTAATCTTTCGGTCTGGTCTTACAATTTATTTTGAATCCACCTTGCCCATTATCTAGCCTGCATCTCTCACACAGTGGTTCATGTAGTGCTATTTATGTGAGAGTGTTTACCAAAGAATCACTGAACTTCAGTGTTGAAGTATTTTTGTGGGTTTTTGTATGTTGTTCATTTGTTTTACATAAATTTGGTGTCAGAAAAGCCCACTTTTTTAGATCATTAATCTATACAACTATACAAGGTTATGATATGATTTCTTGATAGTTTCCTCTTTCCTATATGTTCAAATTTCAACTAGAATTAGGTATCTATGAATAGACATATATTTATATGTATATTAGTACCTATATTTCCTTTTTATTCTTTTGTCAAATACCTTATAGAAAATTCTGTCTTATAGAGAAAATGTGTAAAATTCTATAAAAACAGATTTTTAAAAGCATGAATATAGATTTGATTGAAATGAAAATTTATAATACTGTGGGAATAATTTAAAACAATCTCATTGTTTTGTTTGCCATTAAAAAATTTCTCATTAGCATAGGTGATGAGTCCTGTTAGTTCCTGTCAGCCAGGGAATTTTCTAGTATCTTAACAATTGGATGAAGATGTCTTGCTAGATGTGTTAAAACATGAGTTGGATGACAATTTGTTGGAGATGTTTTAGAGGGGATTTTAATTCACAGATGGGTTGTTCTAGGTGTCCTCTGAGGATGATTCTTTATATCTAGGGTATGGTTTTTTTTAGCCTTTTTTTGTGAACAACTATCTGTTAAGAGAATGTACAGCATATGTAATTTTTAAATAAACATATTTTTAAATATAGCCTGTTGGCAAAAGTGAAGAACACTAATTTCACAGTTGTGGATTTTACAAGCTAGAGTCTTAGCAGAATATCTGTTTTACTGTTCTCAATAAATGTTAAAACAACTAATGATATAATTTATGTTGCCAGTACTCAATATCTCTTTAGAGCAGGGGCTTTTAACTTTAAAAAAAATAATATTTTATTTCCCCCAATTACATGTTAAAACAATTTTTAACATTCTTTAAAGTTTTGAGTTCCAAATTCAATCCCTCCTTCCTTCTCTCCCCCTCCTTCCCTTCTCCTTCCTTGAGATGGTAAGCAATCTGATATAGGTTATATATATGCAATCATGTAAAACTGTCCACATTAGTCATTTTGTATAGGTTCTTAACTTTTTTGTATGTCATGGACTCCTTTGGCAGTCTGGCGAAGCATGGACCCCTTTCTTATAATAATAATTTTAAATGTATAAAATAAAATATATAGGATTACTAAGGAAAGGAATTGTATTGAAATTAAATTATCAAAATATTTCTTTAAAATAAGTCAACAGGGGCAGCGAGGTGGCGCCATGGATATAGCACTGGATCTGGAGTCAGGAGGACCTGAATTCACATCTGACTTCAGACCAGACACTTAACACTTACTAGCTGTATGACCCTGGGCAAGTCACTTAACCCCAATTGCCTCACCAAAAAAAAAAAAAAAAAAGTCCACAGACCCTAGGTTAAGAACCCCTGTTTAGAAGCACCCTTGTTTAAATGTTTTTCATCATTAGTTTTAACTTTCTATGTATATTTTCATTATTAAGTTCTTTTGACTTTCATCTGTGTTTACTGGCCTGAAACTCTGGTCCATTTTAATTTTCATTAAACCTGTATGAATTCAAATTTACAATGTTACTAGAAAATTAAAAGTAACAAAATCTATGCTTTTTATATATATTCCCTTCCCTCAACCAGCATAATTTGCGATTTAGTAGTGTAACTAAAGTATTTTTTAGAAGATCACAAAATGTTTCTGATCATTAGTCAAATAATGTAGAAAAAACTTTTGTAACAAGTTTTTTAAATTGAAGGGAATTTGCTCTGATAATAGAAGCTTCTTATATAAACAATTCAGTTCAAGGAATATTAACTGCATACTGGGACCAGGTCACTGTTATGAGACACTGATCTCAGACAGTTCTCTGCCTATGAACATCTGTCATGATTGATACCTTATGCATAATTTGAGTATAAAGAACTAATGATACAACCTTACTTAGGGCCTAAAGGCCGAGGGTGATAGTGATAGCTTGTGGCTTATGCCTTAGTCATAAGTTCTAAGGCTCTCTAGAAGCTTTATATGCTGTCCCACAAAATCTTAGCCCTCTTCCATTTCTCTTCTTGCTGTTTTGCTGGGATGATGAAAGCAACTAAGTTTCATTTCCACACACCTCTGTTTCAGGCTAGTATCAATAACTACTATTTATGAAAAAAGATAAACTAATTTCCTATATTAGTCCAGGACTCCTGCACAATAGGTTGTTTTATTATAATATTTGGCAGCAAATTATATTAGTATATTGTTTTGATTTTTCAAATGGAATTTAAAAAAAAAATAAGTTTTGACTTAATTTGAAATCTGATCGCAGCTGTTTTATAATCTTTTCTAGGTCTGGTGTGGTAGACTTTCTTTGAGTACTGGATTACAGGTTCCAAGTGCTGTGAAAACACTACAGAAACATGAAAACGGAATGAGTGGTTCAACTAGCAGCCTGAACAATGCTATGCAGTAATATCACCTCAAGAAATGTTTACTTCTATTTTTATTTTGGTATTTTTTTCTGTGCAGTTTCTAATCACAGATGCTTATGAGCAATGGATTAACCATTTGGATTTGCTGCCCTCTGCTGCTTTTAAGGCCTTGATACTGTTAACATTAAGCTTCTGGAATGAAGTATTAGCAGGAACCTACTGTGAAATCCTATAGAAGCAGTTATAAATATTAGGGATTGACTTTCTGAACAATAGGTGAAGGTGAAAATGACAGTGTCTTTTTATTTTAGAAGAAAACTGATTTTTAGTTTTCTGGATATTTTGTTGGTTCTTCTATTTGTTTATACATAGGATTCCAAAGGCAGGAATAGCCTTGGTTAGGAAGGTTTACTACTTAATTGACAAAAATAATTTTTCAGCTTTCCTATGCTTTTCTTTTCTTAATTTTGTGATTCTTCAGAAAAGAAAGACTTTTAGTTCCCAGACTGAAGCTTTAAACAACTTTCAGCCCTTATAAGTTTTATACTGTTTGAGACTGTTGAGAATGCCAAAAAGACTCTTCTACAATAACTTTAACATTTTTCCCCCTTAATTTGGAAATGAATAGGGTTTTGGCTTTTTTTCTTCTTGCTTTATATGTTGAATAGATCAGGCTCCTCTTCCTTCCCCTTCTCTCTTCTTTGTGTATCTATCCAAACTGGCACAATGCTAAGAGAAAATTTACATTTTTCTTGTGACTTGACCCAGATTGGACAGGTGTTTAAGAGATTTCATTTTGCACTAGTTCTTATAATCTTCTACAGGGATTTTCCTTATCATGCTATGATGTTCAACTAGACTTCCTTTTGTAGGTCAATTTGGACAATGGATGGTTTTTTAAGGGCTTTTACATAGTGTTTTCTGATATTTCCTACCTAAGTTAAATCTGTAATAAATTTGCAATTGGATTTTGAGGTATTTTATTGATTTAAGGTTTTATAGTAAGGTTAAAACAATGTATTAAACTTTGCAACCCATAAAACAAAATTATTTGTAAAGGCCATTCTAGTTCAAGCTTGTATAAAAGAGGAGAGAAAAATTAATACAGAAAGTGCTTGCCATTCATTCCTTTAGGAATGCTGTACTTATTGTTTTTTTTACTAAAATTATATTTACATGTGTTCACTAATAAAATATAAGTGGCCTGAAATAGTTTGTAAAAAGAATCCACACATCTCTGAAACAATTTGTACCTCTAATTATTTCAAATAAGACAGCTTAGAGACAATTTTGGTGCAAATTCTTTTGTTCTTTATAATCTAAAGTGGGTACAACTCTTCAAGAGTTTATGTACACTTAATGACAGCATATTGAACACTGAATAAAAAGTATGTCCAGTGAGGGCAATAAAAATTATAAGACAAAGTAAACTTGAAATATAAGTCCCTTGGAATTAAACAAAAATGGCAGTAAATGAAATAGTATATGAACTTTTTTTAACCACTTAAAAACCTGAATATGTATTTTCCCTGGTTTTGAAATGTTGATTTTTTTAAACTTTTATTCTCATTTCAAATATCTTAGGGTGTTAGAGCTTCTCCCCCAGGACGTTACCTTCTATTCTTTAAATTCCTTTGTGTTGATCACTAGAGAAAGCATCATGATGCTTTACATATAGTATTCTCTCAATAAAAGCATAGTACTTACATGCAGGGTGTTCTGTTTTACTCTCTATACAATGAATGTAAATGAAGGATATTATTCTGTCTAGTTATGTATAGTAGTAATAGAAGATAATATATATATCTGACCTGATGTCAGATGGTTTTAAGGATAGATAATAGTTGAGCATGAGGAAGACAAGGATATTTTAAAATGTGAACATAGATAATGCTAGTTCTCAAAGCACTTTTCTTCTGGTTTCTTTCCATTTCTTTTGGCACAATTTGAAAAGAATGTACTATGCTTAACTTAATTTTGAGGGACTACAAGAGAACTTTCGAAACAACAAAGAATTCAGTTTCATTTGCCAAAAGCAAACCCTAAAACAAAAATCCATTGGTCAATCTGTTGTTTATGGCAGTGGCTAAGTAGAGTGTGTCTTGGTAGTTATTATACAGAAAAAGCCAAAAATTCTTTTCTGATTTTTTTTACAAGAATGTCTCATTATGGTGATATCATCTGGCTAATTCAGTGCCTTCTAAATTTTCCCAGTGCCCCACACAGTTTTAACTGATAGTACTCAAACCAGGGAACATTTTGTTGTATTGCTATAAGGACTTTTTTAAAGGATGGGAATGGGGAGAAGGATTCAGTATTTAAGGTTCTTGCATGTGTTAATGTCCTCATCTTGACACTCTTCATATCAAAATCATTGAGAGGAGAATCTTATAAATTTCCCTGGAAAAAGTTTACTATTGATAAAAACTTGTATAATATCTAATATCTCAGAGGATTTTTTAGTAAGAAAATGAATTTCGTAAATCCAGTATTCTATTTCTCCCCTCACATGTGGAACACTTCCTATTATTACCTCTACTATTACCATAAAATGTACAGTTAGGCTTTTGCTATGCTTTTTTTAAAAATTAAATTTGAAGTCCAGAATGTGTCTGTATGGATCTTCTATGAGTTCCTTTTCAGAGCTCCTTTTTAAATTGTATGCTCATTCTGGTCTTTATTTTGAAAACTGAAACAAGATTGATTTCTATATTGGAAATGTATGGGAGATGAACCGAAACTAATATATGAGGCATTACTAAATTATGTTATTTTGGATCTCTTAGCCCCCTGAACTTTTAAATCCTATTTCTGTTTTTAATAAACTAGAGAAAGAAATGAAGGAGTTGCCTTAAGCACTTTAGATAAGAACATTTTTAGATTGAAATTTGACACTCTGACCTATGTTATATGATTTCTAACTCTATGTGCAAGTATATTCCTGTGCAGTATTTCATAATTATTTGTGTTTCTTGCACTTTGTGAGTTAATATAAATTGTTAAAGGATGCTTTAGAAGTTCCAGATGCTAGAGAATGAATAAAGGCACTATTGAGGCATATCTTTCTGGAGTTGGGATTTATTGAAAGTCGTTATACTGTTTGGACAAATAAACTGACCGGCATTATTTGAGTAAAGCTGGGATTGGTCAGCTTGAATACAGTATGTAAGCAGCATTGCTTTTCCAGGTGTGATTGTCAAAAGTGACAAATGAGTTTGCTTTTATTTACCTATTTACAGAATTAAAGCATGTATAATGTCCTGTGACTTTCCTTTTGTGTCTAATCCTAGGTGTTTAAAAAAATAAATGAGGATAATTATTTTTAATATAACAATTTAGATAAAGTTAATGTTTTATCTCATTGCTTTTATGCTCCACTTTTCACTCTTTTTTCTGTAAAATGAGTTATTGGTTAATTTCTCTTTTAAAACAGTATGAAATACCTAAATTTCCAATAATTCTGGAAATGGAAAGAGTAGAATTACATGCTAGCTACACTATCATAAATCATATAATACCAGACTAAAAAGAAGTCTGATTTTTCAGTTCATATTTTTAGTATGTGTTTTTAAAACATATAAATTGCATTAGTTTTTTAAAAATTCCTTATAGGAAAGTACTTTCTACATAGAGTCTTTGGTTGATTATTATTTTGCATTGGAAAAATTGCAAAATTATTATAAAACTGCTGCTCAGTTGTATGAAAAGGTCCTCACTTTCAAAATAGTATGAGTAATTTGTTTTCATGTTTGAACAGAGTTGATGGAACTTTAAAAATAACTCATATCAAACCTCTCATGTACATTTTCCTGCCTTCTGTTGTCATGTCATTATTTTTTGGAAATGTAGATGTTCATTTATCCAGAATCCAAATACCAGAATTTTTCTGTAGTACTGTTCAATGGTAATGATGCCCCTAAAGTACTGCCCAAAGCTGAAAACTTCCTGAATCATCAGTGAAAGACTAAATTATGTTCATGTGTATATCAGTATATTAAAATTCCTTGAAAATCAGTTATCAATATACATTATCTCATCCAGCTCTAATACTTATGGGGTGTTGGACAAGTTATGTCTTTTCTTTAGTCAGTTTGTATAAAATGAAGGCATTTGAACCTATTTGGAGTTGAGAAAAATTGTAGAAGTCATCTATTTCACTCCCTTCATTTTATAAATAGGACACTTAGTCCCAGAAGGATCAAGGGACTTACTCAACATCACATAGGTAGCAAATGACAGGGCCTATCTACATACTTTAGTCCATTGAAAACAAATTTGGCATTCTTATCATTGCAGCACACTGTACTAGATGATTTCTAAGATCTCTTTCATATATAAATCCAGTGGCCTACTATTGTTATCTAAACTATTCATTTAATCAAATCACTTAATTTCCCAAGCATTGTTTTATTTTCCTGCATAATAAAGTTTACAATTATATTTCCGGATATAATACTCAGCGTATATACAAAATTTCAAGTTTATATAAATCTATATTTGAAAATATACTCATTATTACATCACTTGAATACATTTGATAAAATGTCCTGAACAAATTCTGATATTTGGTCTTGGGTTTAGTATAATGCCTTAGATCTTTAGTAAGCGTTGCTCATTAATATTATAAATTATTATATTCATAACCATGTGTGGAATAAAGTAAAAAAATAACTGACTGCATTATACCCATAACTTGGGTCTTGCTTCTTAAAATTTGTTTATGCAGTGTGGAAAGAGCACTGGACTTGGGGTTCATGGCACCTGTATTTGATCCTAACACTGCCATGCAGTACAAACACCTGTTCAACACTGGGTAATGGAAACACATTGAACACAATATCAGAAGAATCTGGGTTTGAGTCAAGGCTATGTCTGGACAGGAAATGTTAATATTTTACATTTATGTTAGTATTTTACATTTACATGATCTAACTTTTTCAAAGATGGTGGACTACTTAAAAGCAGACTTTGAAAATGGATTCTGTCTTGGCATTATTTTCTAAGGTGTTAGAGAAATTGAAAACAAATTGTAAGTATAGCTGAAACATAAGAAAGATCTTAAAAATGTTTTGAACATTTATTTCATTTTGGTTTTGCCTTTACCTCTGCCTCTGCCTCTGCCTTTATAAGTCATTTATTACCTAAATCAGGACTTGTCCCACAACTATAAAACATCATCTATATTAATAGTTAATAAATCACAGTTAGAAGGGACTTCAACAGCCATCTAATTTAACTCATACTTGAAAATAGTCTCTTACAACATATTGGACAAGAGGACATCAATCCCTTGTTTGAAGACCTATAAGGGAGAATTCAGTTCTTCTTGAGGCAGCCCATTCCACTTTTTGGATAGCTCCATTGCAAGAATGTTTTTCCTGATATTGATCCTAAATTCTACCCATCACTTCTAATTATGTTCTTTGGGACCAAGTAGAGGAAGTCTAATTCCTCTTCCAAAATGACAACACTTCATATTAGAATTCTCTAAGCTAAACATACTCATTTTCTTCAAACAATCTTCATGACATGAGATCAAAGCCCTTCACCATCCTGATTCCCTTCCTCTTGACACTCAAGCTTTTCATTGTCTTAAAATGTTACCTAAAATTGTTACTCCAAAAGTGGACTGATGAGAGGAAATGGGGTATTGTGTGGTGGAGCTATTCCTGAAAGCCATACCTCTTAAAGCAGCCCAATATCGTATTAGCTTTTTTGCTGCCATAACATAGATTGCTCATTAATTTTTTAGTTTGCCAAAACCCTCAGACTTTTTTCAGACAAACGTCTCACCATGCCTCCCCTAATTTGTACTTGGGTAGTTTCTATTTTTAACCCAAGTGTAAAATTTTACATTCATCCCTATTACATTTAATCTTATTTGGTTTGGCCCAACGTTCTAGTCTGTCAGAGTCTTTCTGGCTGCTGATGTACACCATGTTAGTTATCTTTCATAGCCTGTTCATCTTCAGATTTAATAAGCATAGCATCTATGCCTTTAACATTCTTGTCAATTACTCTATAAACAACAAATAGCGAAGCACAGATTCCCAGGTGCCTTAATCTGAATAACAACATGAGTAAATGAATAGCCTACTGCTCTTCTATACTGCACCAATGTACTTACTGTTGCATTGTACAAGTGGAATAGAATTTTTATTGCCCACATTCAAGGCTGTCATTGGTTTCTACCAGAGTGTTTTCTGAGCTGAGGCCATAGTTAGGCAACAGTTCTTTTTCACCTGATCTTTTAGTCAGGAGATATATTGAATATGAGTTTACTCCACCTTCTGAGACTCCAAACCATTGAAAACTCCACATGTTGATTCCACTGGGCCTTTTGTTTAAATCTCAAAATCTCCAACATGTTCAGTATTAAGAGATTAAAACAGTTAGGCTGTGGGTCTCCCTGAGGATGGTAGGGTATAGTTCTAGAATCTGATTCTTGCCAGAGTCAATACTTTCTTTTTAAGAAAAAAAATTCAATTTTATTTTCTGCTCTGAATTCTTTCATTTCAACCTCCCACCCTCCATCGAGAAAGCACACATACACACAAATACATTACAAACCAATATAGTCAAGCAAAAAAATTCCCTCATTAATCATGATTTGTATATTATATATAGTGTGTGTGTATGTGTGCATACACATATACACACATGTATATATACACGTGTGTGTGTGCCTCAATTGGCACTTAATGAGTCCATCATTTCTCTGTTTGGAGGTAGGTAGCATGTTTCATTATGAATCCTCTGGACTTGTGATTGGTCATTGTGTTGATCAGAATCCCTAAGTCTTTTAAAATTGTCTATACAGTATTTTTATTGTGTAAATTGTTCTGGTTCTGCTCACTTCACTTTGCATCAGTTCATGTAAGTTTTCTCATTTTTTTCTGAAGCCATCCCCTCCATCATTTTTACAACATAATAGTATTCCATCACATTCATATTTCATGAGTTGTTCAGCCATTCCCCAGTTGATAGGCAGCCCCTCACTTTCTAGTTCTTTGCCACCATGAAAAGAGCTGTTATAAATATTTTTATACATATGGATCCTTTTCCTTTTTCTTTGATCTCTTTAGGGTGTAGACTGAGTAGTGTCATCTCTTGGTCAAGGGCCATGAATGGTTTACTGGGTTTTGGGACATAATTCCAAATTGCTTTCCAGAAAAGCTGGACCAGTTCACAATTTCACCAACAGTGCACTGATGTATCTGTTTTCCTACAGCCCTTTCATGCAGCATTTGTAATGTTCCTTTTTTTTTTGTCAACTTTGCTAATCCAGTGGGTATGAGGTCATACTTCAAAATTGTAATTTGCAAAGTTGCAATTAAAAAAAGTTGTAATTTGCATTTCTCTATTAGTAATTTATAGCATTCTTTCATATAGCTATTGATTGCTTAGATTTCCTCTGAAAACTGCCTATTCATATCCTTTGATGATTTTTCAATTGGGAAATGACTCTTAGAAATTTGTGAGGGGCAGCTAGGTGGTGCAGTGGATAGAGCACTGGCCCTAGAGTCAGGAGGATCTGAGTTCAAATCCGGCCTCAGACACATAACACTTGCTAGCTGTGTGACTCTGGGCAAGTCACTTAACCCCAGTTACCTCACCAAAGGGGAAAAAAAGAAATTTGTGTAAGTTCCCTGTGTATCTTAAATGAGACCTTTATTAGAGAAATTTTCCACAAAGATTTTTTCTTCTGATTTCCCAATTCTTTTCCAATTTCAGCTGAATTTGTTTTATTTATATAGCTAACACTCCTTAGGTAGTTTGCTTCAAAGTTTCTACCTTTGTCAGAAAGGATCCTGTCAGGGAAGACATATATAGACAAAAACTTGTCCTACGACACCATAGTAACTTACCTTTTTAGTTGCTGGTTGGGGATGTTTGTGCATACAAGGAGAAATGGTAAGTGACTACTAGTATAGTGTTTATATTTTTTCTCTCTCAGAAGTAAAAAGGCTATCCACAAAGCTACAATGGCTTTTTGATATTTATAATCTCCCAAGCATGCAACCCAAGTAGTAACATTTTTTTAATACCTTGGGCACAAGTCTTTCGCTTCTTAAGGATGTCTGTTGCCATTTTGGGCCATTGAAATGTTTTTTACTAGCTCACAACACTTTCCTTGACACAAATGTCAAGTTATCATTTGAACTTTTATGGCCAAAGTGCAAAATGCCTTGTATGGCACCAACTATTTTCTGATGCCATATGTGGGATCAGTTACAGGCCAATATTGCACTCCACTGCAGAATTCTAAATTCTGCTATTGTCTCAACAGTAGTGTGCTCTCTAAGGAATGAAGCTCAAGAATGAAGCTGAGCTTTGTTCCACTTCATAGCTTATATTGCTTTTCACAGCCATTCATCATACACTTGCTTCAATATATTCACCTGACCGTAGCCCAGCCCTGGGTATT